TACCGCTTGAGCCAAATCCCCAGCCCAGAAGCTTCTGTATTTTATATGATTCAAAGGTTTTATAGCTTACCTATAATCCTAACTACTTAGGAGGATGAGACTGTCCTAGGCAACAAACATAGCCAAGACCATATCTTAAAAAAAAAAAAAAAAAAAGGTTTCTTTTATTATTGGTTGTGGGGTGTAATATAGAAGCCATTCATTTTCATTTTTATCTGAAATATTGGATACTTAAAAACACTAGTGAAAGCATTAAGACCTGTTTATGCAGTAAGGGATGAGCAAAGTCAAAAAGGCAAAAATATCTTCTGCAACTTGTCTATGTCTTCCAATTGTAGCACATCCACCTTTACTTTCCAAAGAATAAAAGTGGTAAAATAATAATAGTTATTATTATTATTATCCCCCCAAAATTTAATTGTTATATATTGTGTGAGCATATATGATTTGAGGGTTATCAAGTCCATTTTATTCAGAGTACATGTGTTAAACAAACAAGCATATGTTAAGTCCTTAAACATTTATTGATCCTTATTATTCAACACTCACTTTTATAGATCCTTTCTAGACAGTCCTTATTTTATTCTATTTTATTTATTTATTTTTTTGTGGTGCTAGGAATTGAACCCAGGGCCTTATACATGCAAGGCAGGCACTCTACCAACTAAGCTATATCGCCAACCTTGACAGCCCTTATTTTATAAAGCACCTGGAAAAAATAAATAAATAAATGATAAAACATAAAATGTGAGGCAGGAGAGTTCTATAGTTTTATAAGAATTTTTCCCCCCCTCAGGTAGGGTCTTGCTACGTTACTGACACTGGTCTTGAACTTTTTCTTCTTCTTCTTTTTATTTTTTTTTTGGTGCTGGGGATTGAACCCAGAGGCACCTTACCACTGAGTTATAACCCCAGCCCTTTTAAATTTGTTATTAGCGGGGTCTCACTAAGTTGCTGAGATTGACTTTGAACTTATGATTCTCTTGCCTCAGCCTCCAAAATCACTGGGATCACAGGCATATACCACAGTGCTCAGCCTCTTCTTACTTCAGTTTTCTTAGTAGCTGGTATTATGGGCATGCACCACCATGCCTAGCATGATATGGACATTTGAAAACATTTTAATATCAGCAAAAGAATAAATGAAGACTAGAAAAACAGAATTTAAATATAAATATTAAAGGAACTGGGATTATCCTAGTTATAGAATCATTTAACTTGATTAACTGATTATTATATCGAAAATGGTGATCAAGGACTGGGTTTGTTGCTCAGTGGTAAAGTGCTTGCCTAGCATAAGTGAGGCCCTGGGTTTGATTCTCAGCACCACGTAAAAACAAAATAAAATTAAAAAAGTTAAATTATTTAAAAAAAGAAGAAAATGGTAATCAATTTATAGTCTATGAGGACAAAAAAGAAATAGATCTAAGTACTGCATCAAAATCAGAATTGAATGCAATAAACAACTATAAAAAATGATTTAAAATACCTTCCCTTTCCTGAGCAACTTCATCTTAAAACAACAGGTAAGAAATAAGGAAGATGTGTGGTCCAGTATGTAAAAAGGCAGCTCAGTACCAGGTAGCTGAACCCAATTGGGGTGAAAAGGGTGTCCATAAAGATGGACGGTCCATGTCAAGATGCTGAAACCAAGCACCAAGAGAGAGAATTCATTGTGTAGCTAGGATGAGGCAGGAAGATTCATTCCAATTTTGACCCAACTCTCAACAATTTAGCAAGACCATATCTCAAAATTTTTAAAAAGGGCTGGAGATTTGGCTCAGTGGTAAAGCATTCCTGGCTTTGATCTCTAGTATCACCAAAAATAATAGCAAAAAAATGTTGTTTTCAGTGGTAGAATGTTTGGCTAGCATGTGCAAAGCTCTGGATTTGATTCTCAGCACTACAGGAAAAAAATTTTTAAATTATTTCTTATCCCAGAAAGCAATAAGGAGATCAAACAATTACAGAGGACATGTCAAAAGACACAAAAGCCATTCTGAAGAGGATTCCACTGACTAAACACAAGACAATTAGAGCATCAAAATATATACTGATTGTTATATATATATAAAACCTACTGAGTAAAAAAAAGAAACCATGAGTCCAAATAAAAAGTTTGATGAGGAATGGGTATTTATATAATTTCAGAGAACCTCCCCATGAAACATTTTTTAATTCATTATTTTACAATGAAAAAGTATAACACTCTTTTAATCAAGTGATCAAAGTGATCACCACCTAAAGGGATAAATCTTCATTGTGTGCCACATGACAGGATGCAATGAGAATGTACCATCACTTCATGACTCTTGTACATAATTCAATATAAACCATAAAGAAATCTCAGACAAATGCTTTCAAAAGTATCAAAATCAGGAAATTCAAGGAAAAACTGGAAATGTTCCAGGTTAAAGGAGACTAACAACAACTTAAAGCAATGTGT